CCTGTTCCTGTAGCCAGCAATGTATGGCGCACAATAGTGCAAGCTATTGATTCACATTGATTTGGTGCCTCCGACACAGAATTATGTGGTTGTGCTGCTTAACCAATTGTATTGGTTACAATAGAGATTTGGTTGATAGGTTTTGGATTTTTCTCGCAAATCACCATCTTCGTGTCGATATTAGTGTTAGTAATAAGGCGCATAGAATCATGTTCTTGTGTTTGGAAAGTTGTTTATTTTGAAAATCGGGAACAGCGTAAATCTAAATCAAAGAACATTGAAGAAGGTTGGGCATTGGAATGGTGTGTAATTACGAGTACTACACTTACCAGCTTTAAAAAAAAGTAAGACTATAACATATATTGGTGTTAATTACCAAGCCATAAGATCTACATTCTGTGAAACTCCAGCTCTGCTTGATTTCAAAATCTTGCCGAACATGATAACAATTTTCTTTACTAAGGACTAAAAATGGCGCTCTAGTACAATATAATTAATGACTTTCACATTCATCCAGTCGCTGTGATATGAATATTTTCTTCTTTTTGAAGACATTTTATTCAACTTCTTCGTCGCGTCTTGACGCTGATTTAGTGAGTCATAGGGTTGATAATATTTCTTAGGAGTAAAAGCATTTTGATAGTATTTTTACAATAAGACTGAATTATGTAAATGCAACATTTTTATACGCCAGAAAAAGTAATGGCTCTATTTAAATGTGACAATAATTTAACGTTTACTTTAAATATCTAAATGTAAACAATTTTGTATTGTCTTTTAATTTAAAAGTTTTCTTAAAATTTATTTAAAAATGTGTTAGGTAAAATAAAAATTTGAATAACCTTTGTATTTTATATAATTTCTTTAATATAAAAAAACATAGCAACATTATTTACAAACCTTTAGTTCACCACCTAAACCGATAGACCATAGAAAGTACAAACTAATATTTTTCTACTTGATATCGATCAGACAAGTTAATGTACACCCACCACCATTGTTTACCCGACTGAGACAAAGGGTAAGTTTGGACGTCGTAAGTTTTGATCTGCGATACTAAGTTACCGACTTGGGAGCTCCTTGCTGGCCAATTAATGCCAATGGAACCGACAGCTTCGTAATTAAACTTTCCCATCAGGGAACCTGCTCCGAGATAGTGCTTTTAACAATAAGTAAGCAACTATTTATTAGAACGTTTCCCAACCTGCATATCGATAGGAAATTTAAAAAGTTTCACCTTCTTTGGAACTAGATTTCTGCTTCAGGAAAAGTTGCAAAGCAAATCTCTGCGGTTCTTGAAATAAAATGTATATTTTACGGTATGAATTCTCAGAACTGTGAGTGAGGGAGATACTTCAAAAAAATATCTGAATTTTTGGAACTCCGAGTTATCCCAGCGAAATAAAAATATTAAACACTTCTGGTTTGATTTAGGATTTATTAATAAAATGGTAAAAATAAAATAATTAGAAACAGTATTATTAAAACATAAAAAATAAATAAAATTAAAAAGCTAACGCATAACTCTTGTTGGTCTTCTGGGAAATTCTATATTAACGAGGGAAATAAAACTCAGAATATTGGAATATGTGGTGTGGAGTGTAGTAACAGGTCATTTGTATGCTTCGTCGAGCACCAATCGTTTTGAAGTAGCCTGAGTGGTTTCCACAGGAATTATGTATCGAGTACATTCCTATCAGTACTCAGTGTGCATGTAAAATTAAAGATGAGGTCAACTTTGCTTACTAAATACACGTATTAGTACCGATAATTTGATAATATAGTATGTATGTCCCTATGTGTGCTTCAATCTTTGAAACTACGTAATACATTTTAGAGTAAATTGAAAGGTTAATAAGTATACATCCATTAAATTGTGGAGAAATCCAGCATCAGCATTACACACGTGCGAAGCCGGGGCGTTTCGCTAGTCTTGATGAATAGTCTTTTTGAATGAAATCGACAACTGTGTATGCAATCTCGATTTTACTATTTTAACTTGAAAAGAATATTATTTTCTTGTTTGAGCCTTTTTCGGCTCAATACCTTTTCCATAAAGTTTTATTAATTAAAATCTTATCCAAAATAACCTATTTTATGAAGAAGGTAATGAGCCGAGGTGTATCCTCTGATATTTCACTGACGAATATTATGATTTAACCTTATAACAGAAAAATACCTAGTTATCAATCTTTATCAACATTATGTGACTAATTCCTATATGAAATATTATTGAATCTGATGTCATCAGACAACAGATAGACGTTTGTTTCATCGTCCACAATCAAAATCGTCACTTTATACTCGAAATTGGCAATTTGATTGTGTCACAGGTCTCAATGTAACAAAAATACTACGCAATTTCATCGACTAACGTTATCTATGTTATCTGAATCTGCATTAAAAGCCACAGGGGAATCGAAAGCGACCGATCGGAAATATCATCGATAATTGTGACGTATGCATAATGCTCGGAGCATTGGCGCGACCGTAGGGATGCAATTTGTATGTATGTATAGTGAAATGTGTCTGATACTGCATAAATTATCGAAAATACAATATTAATGCTGTTATTTTTCTTTAATGCAGGCTCACAGCTTAGGTATCTGTAAAAAGTAGTTTAAAGTATTGGTTATGGGCAGTAGGTCTTATAGTTTTACTTGGACTTATAGTTACGAGCTAACCAACATTCCTAAGATACATGGATACACATGTACATATCAAGAAATGACTTTTCTGTTGAGACGCATCTCAGTGTCAGATTCTTGATTAATCTCTACCCTGTTCCTTCTCCTGTTTCAGCAGTTTAATTCTGTAAGACTTCATTCTAAACTTCGAATCTGAATCCGCTGTGAGTAGTAGTACACCAGCGTTAAACTTGCCAGTTGAACTAAAATGACCGCAATATTTTGATAGATAGAAAAAGTATGGCCAGTCACTTCGACGCTCACTTCACACTAGAACAAGATTTAAAAATCGAACAAATTTTGTAGAATCGACGTGCTGGCCCCTGTACATTAATCCGCTTGACCCGGCTATGATCCTAAAAATAAATAAAAAATACATATATACAAAACACGTAATATATTTATGATATAGATATTTATGCCACAAGAGTTGGAGCTTATAACTGGTATAACTAGAGTATTTACTATCTCATAATCCTAAGTGGCCGCTAGATAGCGAGGAGGAAAAATATACTTTCCTTGTGAATGAGAAGTGACCGAGTTATACCACATACATAATATTTCATAGGTACTTTCTGCTACTTTTTTAATTTACTATGATTATCGATTGTAAAAAAAATAAGTATGCTCGGTATGGCTCGATATTTTTCTCTGTGCCTACCGTTGATGCCGTTACACAGATCCTTATATTACTGCTGCATCCAGGAATTGTTTGTAACAGATCACCATATCCGATTAGCCACCTAATATCCAATTCATTTTTTGTAAGTTGCCCTTTGTAATGATCTACTGTGGCCATGATTACATTTTCAATAATATATATTTCACAATTAATACTGCAAATCAGTGCTCAAAGATAATTATATTTTTCAAGAATTGTATGAGATCTAATTTTTAGTTTTTTCACACAGGAGCAACCACTGAGCAACCATGCAGTTGAAATATAAATTAATTTCCTATAAGTGTTTACTGCTGACGTGTTTCGTGGGGGGCCGGAGGAGCCCGCTTCTCATGCATGAGAGCGTGGGTTCGAAACCTGGCAAGTACCAATGTGACTTTTTCCGAGTTATATGTACTTTCTATGATTATTTAGACACCTCTGACATACGGTGAAGGTAAACATCGTGAGGAAACCTGGACTTATAATCTCTAATTAGAGTTTTAAATTGCCAACCCGCATTGAGCAAGCGTGGTGATTAATGCTCAAACCTTCTCCGTGTGTGTGTCTACTGCTGAGCTAAGTCTCTTTTCACACGGAGAGGGTATGAGCATTAATCGCCACGCTTGCTCAAAACGAATTGGCGATTTCAAACTTATAATTAGAAATTATAAAGTCCAGATTTCTCTAAAATGTTTTTCTTGGTGACTTAACCAAAATAAACTTAATAATATAAGGTAATTAATTAATTTCAGGATCATACACTTACTATTTCATCAGGGGCGACGTGAGATTCCTATTGACAACATTCGGCAGTAGAATGTAAGTATAGTTACGCGAGTGATGAGTTCGTGTAAAAGCTAATCGGCTTGCGGAGAACAGATTTAATGTGCCTGCCTAATCCTCTTAGTTCTTGCAGTACCGTGTCTACACCATTTTTTATTCTGTTTGCGTTTTGATTACTTGATAATCCAGTGTTTGCAGAAAATATTATGAAACCTTAATTCAGTTTGTACGCGAAGTTTGAAGAAGACAATACCTACGTTACAAATTTTTGTATTTTAAAATCTGCAAAAGTATGTTTATTGAGACTTAAAAGGTTAACTTTACAGCTGTGAGTACAATTAAGTACGTCTGACCATATTTCTATTTTTTTACAGTCGAAATATCAAATACTAGCTACTCTCGCGCGGTTTCACCCGCTGCTCGGCTCCGTTCAATCGTAGCGTGATGTTTTATATCCTTTAGCACCTAGGAACCTTGTAGCTATCTATCAGTGAAAAAATTTTGGCAATCCGACCAGCGGTTGAAAAGATCACCCCCTACATACAAACTTACAAATAAAACTGATTTTACAGTGCCAAAATGTAGAATTAACGACGCAATTGCAATAAATTTCCTTCGGGATTCCAAACTTCTGTTTAGTAATCCATAAATTCCCCATCAATCATTTTCACGCAGTTAATAGCCAATAAACGCCCTTGTCCGTGAAATTAACCCGCTCGATCACTTTTATGTTTACTAAGTTTATCAGGAAAACTAATGGCTCGATAAAGTATCATTTGAATACTTATCGAGATCCAGATTAGCTATCTCACATATTCGTCTGAAATGAATAATATCGTTTAGGACGTGATTAGTTGGGTTTCGGAGTCAGGGCATTGAGATTCTCAGTCGCCTCTCTCAAATTAATCCGTGGTATTCAAGAACGTGTTAAAATCGAGACGCTGTTATTAATTTTGTGTAGTCTGTAGTGAGTTGAATGATTTCTCATAACAGTTTTAAAAAAGGAAGAGTTTAAAAAAGATTTAATTTGTATTTCTAATGAAAGGAATGCAGTTGACTCGTCCCGGGTTGCTGGCAAAATCTACAGTATCAACAGTTGTAAAGTAAGTGTAATTTGAACTTTAACAACCCCTTTTTTGTGAGGGGAAAATCATCAAAAGACTTCTCTTGCCCAAGCTTATCCTGGGTGAGAGGGAGTGTCAGACTGTTACTGACTAAAGCCGCCCGTTCTTTTCCCTGCTCTAAGCCGAAGACGAGGTGCTATAAATTGAGCTTGCCCTGCAACGACGGTGGTTACCACGTATATGTCAGAATATCCAGTTACGATCTACGGTAATACGAGTATTCCGGATCCTAGTAAATAAATTTCAGATTTCTTTTTCAAAATAAGGACATTCAATGTCTAAATCAGCTCAAAGAATTTAATATCTTAATTTTTTCATTATGAATAGGTATACGTTTAAAAAAAACATCTTTTGCCCAAATTTTAATAGATAAATATTTACATTTGTATTAATTAGATAAATTGTACACTAAGCTTGTAAACGACTGAAAGTTTTTTCATAACAAATATAAAATTATCAGTAATGCTAGAGTACACATACTATCATACTTATTGTTACCATGTTTTTTGTAGATTGACTGATAAATACCTAGAACAGAACATAATTTATCACAAATTTCCCTTTGTACGTAACCGACAAAAGTTATAACTTTTAAGTATATCTATCGGGATGTAATTTATTATGAAAACAAGTGACGCCATTGCTCAGGCATGGTTAAGACGCCCGCTTTCTACGCTTTAGGCTGCGAATTTGTTGGTTTGTTGATGTTGATTTAGGTATCACTGATATCATGACCCATGTCTTTCTTTGATAAAAAGTTTAAATTATCATTCGCTTTGAGCGAGCTTCGGTTAGTCCTTAAATCTTGTTAAAAGACGATAATGTTGATACTTAGCCATGCAAAAGTTTCACTTTGTTAAAATTTTTTTTTGCTCACAGAAATGCATCTTGCAGTCGAGGTTGGTTGCGACTTGTGGTGCAGTCTATTTTTGCTGCTATCACGGTGGCCAGTTTTATTCTCATACTTTTGATGGCTGTACCAACATGGCCGTCACAATCCTTACCACCACCGCCGCCACCACCCATTCCTGCACGGTGCCGTATTGAAAACTGCAGAATTTTCTGCCTAGATACACCGTATTTTGGAGAGTATGAAGACCACATAATTCGCGCAATAATGGTAAGATATTCAATTTACAATTACTCAAAGTCCCATACAGGCACTTTTAAACGTCAAACAAAATTTTAAAGATATAAAGTGTCAGTCAATCGTTTTGTCCTCTTAGTGAAGCTATTTGCTCGTTCCAAAGTGTAGATTCCGATATAGAGGAACGAGAAAGAAACTCCATACTCTTTTTAAATTAGTTTCACATACAGATTCCTTGTACAAACATTTATTTTGGAAAATTTAAAAAGAAAATACTTAAGGACAATAGACAGTACCGAGCTGACCAGTCTCAAGTAATAACACCTAATAACTCAATAATATTTTGTACCCAAGGCTGTGTTTTTGTTTCAGACTGTTGAAGAGAATAATTGCGTACAAATATTTTTAACATTGGAATCACCAATGTTTATTGACAACACAATGCCACCAAAATGGCTGGACAGGCTGCGAACGAATAATATTCATGAATTGACAATATCGAATGGAAATCTGGCACATATCCCCTCAGATGCTTTTATGAGTCAGTGTTGTACAAATATCAGGGTTTTGGAATTCAAGAACCTGAGGCTGAAATCTTGGACACCTGATAGTTTTGTAGGCCTGTCGAATTTAGAACACCTTTTCATAAAAAACATTGGCCTTTATGAAATACCTAGGGATGCTTTAAGGGCTTTGCATGACACGTTGGGAAGCCTGACGATAACCAGAAGTAACTATTGGAGTCCACAAAACATCACTGGTGTGACAATATTTACTCGACTTGAATCTGTTGATTTCTCCTCTAACAATTTTAAAGACGTATTAGATAGAAATAGCTTTATCGGTCTCAGAAAGTGTAAAATTCTGTATCTGAATTCATGTGGAATAACTTCAATCGGAGCTGGAACCTTTGACAGTTTAGTCAATATTGAAATGATATTCTTGCACAACAACCAACTGACGACGCTGCCCCCCGGTCTGCTCAGCAATGCTATTGGGACTTCTGATCTTAGACCTCGAATTAACTTACAATACAATTTATGGGAATGTGATTGTTCAGCAGAAGAAATCATAAGACTAACAAGACAAGACGTGCTACTGACCGATCCAGTTTGTGATAGCCCAGAATACTTCCAAAATAAAACTTTTAGTGAACTTGATGAATATTGTTCTGATAATCTTGACTTTGCTTACGGAAATATTTTCAAAAATACATCAAATGATGCAAGTGGTGCAAGGTGGTGGGAATACATAGATGACATATGTGGTTTCTTTTACGTGAGCCAGAGGTGCTTTCTCAATTATCCTTTGAGTTCCGGCTTAAGGATGTTATCACCAGTGCATGGACATCGCTGCATATCCAATGATACAGAGAGTATTAATATCATTCCTTCGTTTATAAGCAGTAACGGTACCCAAATAATACCTGAGAAGTCTTGGATAAAGATGAACTATTTCATAAAAACTAATCAGTATTCTGTAGTCGAAATAAACGCAACGGACACGGTAAACTATGGACTAATATGGTATCAAACGAACTGCCCAAATGAGTTGTACTGCATTAGTGATGTGCCATCAGTTTTCAGAATTTATAATATCGATAAAAACGCTGAATATGTTTTCTGTCCTATAAAGTTAAGTTCAGGACAGGTTGAATCGCAAAATTGTGTTATTTATCACAATAATAGTCTTTTTGACTTTGAAAAAGGCTACTATCAGATTGAAATTTTACTTTACATTGTGACTGGAATGGTATGTTTAATATTTGGAGCTATTTGTGTTTACGCAGTGATTAGAAAACATCCACATCTTTTAAAAGGAAGTAAAAGAATATTGTTTGTGAAACATAGATCTGTGGATGCCTTGGTTTTACCGCCAAAAGTGCCTTTAAGGAACGATTTGAGTGAACTACCTACAAATGAAAGCACTAAGAAAATTTTTGTCGTACCCGCAAACCATATCAATAACGTTCCAAGTAGATTCAAAAGAAATAAATCGGTAAGGAGCAATAAGAGCAGTGCTCCAAGTTATATTTCAGCTCTTCAACCGACGGAGGACCAGCTGGCCGAATGGCGTATACGTCATCACTTTAACAATGATCTATCAATCAATTCTATGACTTCAGAGCTCTCCACGTTTTCCTGGGTTTCAGATGATGAAGGTCTATACTATTCTATAGACGTTGATAACTATAAAACATATGAGAGTGTTAAATAGTTTAATGACGACAGAGTAGCAAACAGGAAGAGTCTAGTCATTTGTCATTTGAAATGTTAGGTATAATTTGTCATGTCTAGGTCTAGAGTTAAAACTTGTTATTTTTAAAACTATCAGTTACTTTCCCGAACCGTGTAAATTTAGCGAATACCTGAATTGGGTGTCCACTTTCATATCTACGAGTATGTGAACGTTAACATGTGCTGCAAATACACATTTAAGTAAGCCTAGCCATTGATATATTATAATGTTTGGTAAGGATAATTACGGACGCATACTTACCTATTTTCATGTGTTTAGATACCTATGTATTTAAATACTATATCGTTTTGCATATTATTCAAATATATACTCTAAAAATGTTATGTACATATGTTGCAGAAAATGTATGTATGCAAGCATTACTATAGTCAAGTGCATGTAATAAAATAATATATTGACTATATGTAGCTATAACTTAAATAGTACCTATGAATTTAACGTGATATACAAGTAAAATGTAGTATTCATAGTAATTTATATAAGAAAACTAAGATACTGAACTTACCTAAACTTAAAATAAAAATAAATGTGTCATCTAATAAAACATAAATAAAATATAATTTTACTTTTTTATCTTCGTTTAAATTTAACACATAAACATATTTTTATTTATTCATTGGGCAAATATTGCCAAATAATATTACATGCTAAGGGCAAATTTTTCAATACTCAGATAAATGTTATGTGAAGAATAAAATTGTTGCTGTCACTGTCTTGTACAAACATTCTGACGCGACAACATTATAATATATCCCAGGTAACTTTTATCTAACCATTGAAAAATCAGCTCTAAATATTTAAAAAATATACTGTTATTTAACAGTATTCAGTTTTTTGACATGACAGAAATATGCACCTGGTTGCAGTATCGGGTAGCCGTCAAAGCGAGAGCTCTCGCGGTGAATCAATCTATTACAGCTGCTTCGTACGCGGCGCGGCGCCCGCGCATATGACCTGCATTGTCTTGCCCATTGGACGATCGCTCTATTTCTGTACACATTTAAAAACGACTATAGGCCTAGAGACAAGCCATTATATATCATTAACTGATTCTGTTTATTTGGTTTATGCACATCACCGACTTAGTTTAGTCGAAATCCAGATCGATCCCAGAACTATTTTAGGTTTTAAGAAAAAAAAAATTAATATAATATTTGTATAGAAAAGTTAGGAAAATTTTATTATTTATTCTTCTTTGAGTATGTTCTGAAAAATAATGTACCTAGATTTATTAATAGACATATCGCTAAGGCTAAGTAAGTTTTTTATAATATACTTATTTGTGTTAAATGTACTTATTTTAATATAAGTAATCAAGCCTATAAATTATTAAAACATAAATAATCAACTATTCAGAATTAGTTGTAATATACCATAATTATTGTAAACTTTGATTATAAATAATAAAGTTGTGATATTATTCGAGTACAAGAGTTTCATTTAACAAAATAAAGATTTTTGTATTAGCTATTGTTTATTCGATAGATTTAGTTTAATAGTTAAACTTTTGTTGTTGTTGTGTTACTTATAAATATAAAAAATAGTTGCATTGTATTCGAATATAATACTTGAAAACCGATTTTCATTTATTCATAATAAACAATATGATATTGCTTATTTATTGGCTGTTTGGAGTCTCTCTGAAGGATCGCATTCGAAATGAGGTGATCCGAAAGAGAACCAAAGTTATCGACACAGCGTAAAGGATAAGCAAACTGAAGTGGCAGTGGGCAGATCACATTTATCGAAGAACCGATGACCGTTGGGGTGAACATCTTCTAAAGTGGATACCACGTCTAGGCAAACGTAGTGTAGGACGCCCTCCAGCTAGGTGGACTGACGACATCCGCAGGGTGGCTGGCAGTGGTTGGATGAGAAGAGCTGAACATCGAGCTCAGTTGCGTGCTATTGGGGAGGCCTATGTCCAGCAGTGGATGATATAAGGCTGATGATGATTGTTTATTTGAAACAATTTTTTTTGACAAAAAAAAATATCGAAATGTAGTTGAATTTAAGAATAAGTATATTAGCTGTATTTAAGCTACCATTGCACGTCTACATAATATTTGAATACAAAATAAAATAAAAATAGCTATTCAGTAAGTACTGAATTAAATGACAAAAATATAGTCTCTACTTATTTATTTATCAAACACGTTTCCAGAGCATTTAACATTATAATGAAACAAACAAAAATAAGAGGAATTTAAAATTTACTTTGCTGGAAACAATAACAAATTAAAAAACCTATTTTTCATTCGAGTTTTATTTTTGTCTGAGATTTTTAATCTGTTCGCAGTTGAGAGCAATTCTGCAATGTCATTTTGCTTTGCATTGTTGTGAACGGAAAAGTTAATAACTGGCACGTTTACCCTGACTTTTCTCACACGTGTAACATTTAGGTACTTGGCTAGATTAAATAATATTTGAAACATTTTTTTTGGAATTCGACGTGTGAAAATGTCAGCAATATATTTTAGATATCTATTTGGGACATGGCAAGATTTATGCACGTGTACTATAATAGGAAAAGTAAGTTGAATTAATAAGTATATTTTAACCCTACCTAATCGCAAAATCATTGTTTGCTGTTTGTCCAGGTTGAAAAGATTGATTATTTTGTGTATTTAAGATTATGTTATTGCATTGTTCAATTTGATTTTTGGAAAATAACGAGAGCTATGCTTTGAAATGAATGGAAAGGCTTGACAGAAGTAATACCGCAACCTCACAGAGAACCGTTGTGGAACGACCAAAGCGTTTTATTTCGGCGTGTGAGTGAGTTTACCGGAGACCAATTTATCGCCTCCCCAATTCCCCCTAACTCCCCAAAAACTCCTCATCCCCAAAAGGATAGAAGCTCAGCCACTTCAGACTCCTCTGGTACGCCTGCTCGTTTACGGTATCATCGTCGTCAGCCTAGAAGTGCCCACTGCTGAGTAAAGGCCTCTTCTCATACGGAGAAGGTTCTAACCTTCATTGATCCAGGCTTGCTCAATGCGGGTTGGCGATTTCAAACTTATTATTAGAAATTATAAGTCCAGGTTTCCTCAAGATATTTACCTTCACCGTATATCTGTGGTGCCTCATCAAATCATGTCATCATCATCAGTACATATAACTCGGAAAACGTCACATTGGTACTTGCCAGGTTTCAACCCACATCCTCACGCATGAGAAACGGGCTCCTTAACCTCCGGGCCACCACGATGTTTACGGTATACAATATAACGAATATATACTACTTAAATACAACAGTACAAAAATACTCGAAACATGCAATGTCTGAGATTAATTCATCATCACAGTTGCTCGCCGCTCCATCATCTGTAGCAAGGTCCATCGACCTCAGTACCAGACAGAATACTACCGCATACCAGAATAATCTCCTGTACATCTCTAAAGAGTTATATCACTTTTATAAATGATGTTAGTACCGCTAACAATAGTATGAAACGGGTTACATGTCTGGCAGGCCTTGTGTACCCAGACCAAGAACAATGCACTTGGCAGTGACATTGTCTCCCTTGGCAGTCAGTATTGACTTCGTCGCCTAGTGATCATCTATCACTCGTAAAAGATGGTCTGCTTCTGCTCACGATTAACTTTGGCGAATTGTATTATTATTGTTTATTGGATGTGTAATTTAAATATTGATTGAAACATTTCCGATGACACATAATTTATACTTACATTTATTTTTTATTTTTCATCATCTTTACTTATAATAATATTTTTTAAACTGTATTTGTACTACGTTTATGCCTGAATTTATAGATAGTTTTTTTTAATTGATGAAAAATTTTGTGTTTAATTTTCAAATCTAGTTTAGATATATTGTAATTTGCAAAATCATATTTTAACCTTTAACAACAACAAACTTTTGGAACAATTCAATATTTATTATATGCATTGCAATTCAGTACTTTGATCAAAACCTTATCTATTGTTTTTAACAGATGTTTTTCATTTTATTTTTAACAAGCCATCCGCCTCATCTTTACACCGCTGCTATGCTGATACTAAACCTCTCCACTTTTTGATACATGTTAATATACATATAAAACATCGTCTTCAATTACCCTATCTCTTTTAAAAAGCACATCAAAATCCGTTACGTAGTTTTAAACATTTAAGCGTACATAAGGAAGAGAAAGCAACTATGTTTTATACTATCTAGTAATGATACTTATTCCTACATGAAAGTTTACTATAACGCACTACGTACAAAGTCAAACTCTGCACTCTAAACAAGTAATTCTAAAGAGAGATTCAAGAGAATAATTCGGAGTTCCAAAATATAACTATTACATAAGTATTCAAATTATATACTAAGAAAATTTTTAACACATTTTTCCACATAGGTACGTATTTACAAAGTGTTGATAAAGTTTTCACACTTAGTAGATGAAAGTTGAAGCAGAAAATTCCTTTCAGTTGTAAAGAAGTTTTTCTTCTTGGAATATCTGAACACTTTGCTCCCTCTTTTCATAGTCATTCAAATAGTTGTAATTTGCATCAGTTGAATTTTTAATTAGACTGACATAAATTAGCTCATAACGTTTCTACTGACATTAAAATAATTTCATACTAAATTATATGTTCATATATTTAAATAAACTATTTAATATGACACACACACACTTATGTTAGCTTAAGGTAGCTCAACCCCAGCACGGAACAGGAGAAGGAACGGGGTGGGTTTTTAGTCAGTAAGAGTCATTTTTTTATTGGGGAAGAAAAATCATCACATACATTTTCTCGCCAAGGGTATGGTGATAGGTAGCTCTTATTGTACTGACTAAATACTCCCTGTTTCTTTTCCTGCTCTAGGACCAACCCCGGCTGAACATCAACTCTTTAAACTCCCTCTTGCCTAAGCCTTGGTGCGAGAAGGAAATTGATGATTTTCCTCGCTTAAAAAAATAGCGTTCACTAGTTTGCTAGGAATTTTCCATTTACCATTATAAATCTATGCTCATCTCTTCTTTTGTGGCTGGAAGTAAGACATTGTAAAGTTCATATTTAAATGTAATATAGAACATTACCCTTAGGGATGTAAGTAAAGTAATAAAAGTTTAACTGTTCCAAGGTTACGCATAAGTATCGGCTAAAATACAACTGTCTGGAGCGCCCCGGGAGGACTATACTTGAGACTATATTTGAGAAATATTACATTT